TGAGACCATCTATGAGGATATCTAACCATGAGACCATCTATGAGGATATCTAACCCTGAGACCACCTATGAGGATATCTAACCCTGAGGACATCTATGAGGATATCTAACCCTGAGACCATCTATGAGGATATCTAACCATGACACCATCTATGAGGATATCTAACCATGAGACCACCTATGAGGAGATCTAACCATGAGACCACCTATGAGGAGATCTAACCCTGAGGATGATCAGCAGAGCCACAGTTCTTCATGTCATGAGGGATCTCAAGCTATATTGCTGGCTCCCAAATCTGGCTGAGGAAAGTTTGAAGCTTCCGATTCTCAGGACTCACTCACCTGACCTGCAGAATGAAAATCTCCCAGGGGTTGGTCTAGACTGTAGGTGTGGACCAGGCAATCCTGGAGAATTGCCAGGCTGCCCCCAACATCCGGGAACCTCCAAAACAGCTCTCTCCAATTCCTTCAATTCCTCAAATGCTTACTGAGCACTTCCTGTGTGCCCACCCCCACTGCCAAGAGCACCACCACTAACCCCTTCTGTCCACAGGCCCACTAGACCCCTCCAGGCTGGCTGCTCCCCTGCCCGTGCCTCCCCTGCCCCGCACACCAGCAGGTTGCCCTACCTTATAGCAGTGCCGGAGTTTGGGGTCTGAGGCCCAGCCCTGGGGACACGAGCCGGTGAGGCTGGGCGTGGGGTCTGGCCCTGGCAGCTCCGGTGCCACTGGCGTGCCCAGGCTCTGGCGGCAGATGTAACGAGCCCGGAAGGTGGTGCAGTTCTTCACTTCCCACAGCCCCATGGCACTGCCCGTGGCTAGGGCCACACAGCCCCCTCGGCTGTACCCTGAAGGAGGGGAAAGGGAGACCCAACACGGAGGCGGTGAGACAACCAGTCTAGCCCTACAGGCCCTGGGTGCCAGCTTGGCCATCTCCGCAGGCAGTCTTTGTGGGCTGCCCTGTCTTTCTCTGACGGAGCCGCTTGGTGGCTTGGAACCACCAACCTGTTGATCAGCAGCCGAGCACTTAGCCATTTCACCAGGCCTCTCCCACTTTTGTAGGATTCTAAGCACTTGACCTACAGTCACCCTTTGGAGCCTCCCGTCTACCTGAGCAAGGAGCCCCGCCCCCATTCCACAGATGAGGAGTCGTAGGCAGATGAGCCTTGCGCTCATCCAATGACAATGACGGCATCACAGTCTGGTCCTGGTGTGGCAGGTCCATCCCCGGCCTCCCAGCAGCTCGCAGGGCAGTCCCTGGGAGTTGACCGAGCCCATGGGGGTGCTCACCAGGCTGGTCCCGATTCCAGTGTGTGTACATGACCTCGTCCCCGCTGAGCCAGCGGAAGGAGCCCGTGCTGTTGAGGTCTTGCAGGGCTGTCCAGAAGAACTCTCCGTCCCAGTTGTAGATGAGGCTGCTGACGAAGGCCTGCTCGAACCTGTGGGGAGAGGCTGGTCAAGGCAGGGGGCTCCCCCCACCTCTCCCGGGGCTCAGCAGGCTGGACGCCCTGCCCTGGGACCCTGAGGACCGCGCCTGGTCGGTCACTTTCTCCAGGACACTGGCCCTGCCTCGGATTCGCAGAGCAACCCAACACACCCCCTGGGACGGCCCACCCCTCCTCTGCTGTGGAGAAGAAAACCAGCCCCCAAGGCCTGCCTTTCAGGGGCATTGAGTCCCCAGCTACGTGATGGGGAGTCAAGCAGCACTGCTACAAAGCCACAGAAGCCTGTATTAAAGCAAGAGCGAGCAGCCCGGCGCTAGTGTTCCCCTGCGCATCTTCCGCCTGGCTTCACCCCCTGCTGAGGGCAGCCTCTCTCTCTCTCTCTCTCCTCTCCTCAGTACACACTGTGATGGGACAGCAGTGCGGGCATCCTCCAGGGATGCTCTTCCTTCTCAGGGCTCTTTTGAGTTGGGGGAAACGAACAGAAGTCTGGGGACAAGATGGGGGCTGCAGGGTGGGTGGAGTAAAGCTTCCCACCAAGACCCTCGGGGCTCGGGCCCAGCCTGCCCACCATCGGGGAAGGGCAGGTGCGTTGTCAGGATGGAGAAGAACATTCCTTAGGATAAACTTCCCGGCCTTTCTCTCACCAAGATGGCTTTCCATTTTCTTAAAACGTCTTGCTAATAAGCCCCTGTGATTGCCTTTTGTCCATGGGGTAGATATGCAAGAGTGACCTTTTGGGGTCCCCCTAGTGACCTCTTGGCCTGGATTTCCACTGGCCCAGTAGATGCCCCTTGGAAACCCATTGCTATCGGATCCTTCCACTTGTTTTGGTTGGAAGGTACCCCAATGAACATAAAGGAGCCCTGGTGTCATCGCAGTTGCATACTGGGCTGCTAATCACGGGGTCTGCAGTTCGAACCCACCAGCCACTCCATAGGAAAAAGATGAGATTTTCTACCCCTGTAAAAGGTGAGTCTCGGACACCCACAGAGGCAGTTCCACCCTGTCCTATAGGGTCGCTGTGTGCCAGCACTGACTTGATGGCAGTGGGTTTGGGGGGAGTTTGAATGAGATGAAATGTCTTGCTGAACCTGTCTGTAGCTGTCCACTGATCACAGAGACGTGGTCACACACCTTCTTGGAATACACTCCTGCACGTAGACTTTAACCTTAGCAGCAATGCTTTCTGATTTCCCCTGGCCCCTGCCCCCACCCTGGAGAATAAACGAGTCCTCCTTGTGACAAGACTAGAAAGGGGCTCTGGGGTCGGGTCAGTTCCAGGCCCCTCAGGGGGTCCCAGGCAGGATGGAGGGGCCACATGAGGCCAGCACGCCAGCCCCTGCATGTACCTGTTGGTGATGGTGACCAGCTGAGAGCCATGGTCGGTGCACAGGTGCCGGGCCTCACTGTAGGTGACTTGGTCCTCTCCCAACCAGTAGCAGGATGGGCTGTGCCATGTCCAACCCTAGCTCGAGAGAGTAGGCAGCAGGGGGTGTCTGGGAAAGGGCCTTCCCTCCCTCACCCATAAATCCTGGGTAACCAGTGGCATCTCCAAACGTACCGGGTGCTCCGACACAGACAGGTCACTCACTCGGACCCCAGCAGTTTATGTGGTTCCACTCAGTCACTCCCGCACACCCCCCTCACGCCCACTCAGGGGAAGAAGCATGGCCCTAGGGTGGCTGACCAGCCCAACAGATGTCTCTCTTTGACCTCTGAACCCAAAGATGCCGCTGCTGAGAGATGGCCAGCTGGCTGGGAACCAGAGCCAGAAAGCCGGGGTGGGCCACAGGCTGTGTGGGGCTCAGGGGCCTGGGGAAGTTTGGGTGAGCAGAGGAGGCACCTGGCCCAGAAAGGGAGCAGGTGAAAGGTGGGCTCTGAGGGGTTAGCTCCCCCATGAGGCCTGACAGGGTGTTACCCCACAGAGCCTCTTCCCCAGGGGCTCCCTGGGTGGGTCTCTGCTCCCAGCTACCAAGAGCCCTGCCTTACAGAGGGGGTCCTGGAGCTCTGAGAAACCAAGCAACCTGTCCACGGCCCCACAGCACAAATAGGCCTGGGACCTGAGCCCTCAGTTCTGCCCACGGCAATGGCAGGTCTCAGGCTGGCCTGGGGTGGGCCTGGCGGCCTGGCAACCAGCTCGAAGCTGGGGGAGATGGAAAATCAGAATCGCAGCTCCCTGGGCAGATGCCAGTAGGGACAGAAGCAGGTGTGTGTGCACGTGCTGAGGGGTGGGGGCTGTACGCTCAGCTCCCCGGGCTCTCCTGTTCTCTCCTACCCCCCACACCAGGACACAGCCGAGGGGCTAGTCCCCACCCGTGCAGTCAAGCTGGCCCCCAGACTCCTTCGTCAGCAGGGCGCCTGCGCTGCTCTCCGTCCTCCCCCCACTCTGTTGGCATTTCCTGCTCCTCCCTGCTTGGGGAGGGTTTCGGATAAGGGTGGGGTGGGCTGGGGTGTGGTGAGGGGGCCTTAATCCAAAGGAAAACAGCGAGGAGCCAAGCTGGCAGCACCAGGGGGCCAGCCGGCGGGAGGAGCGTGGCTGGCAGCCCAGCAGATGGCGCCGTCAAGGGCCCAGACACCACAGAGTGGCCTTTATGAGCCGCACCTCACAGGCTCTCTGCAGGCTGGGCCCGAGAAGCGCGGGTCGGAAGGTGAAGGAAAAGCCCGTCGGCCTCCAATCCTCACATGCACACTCATCCCCTCATCCCTGAATTCCTTCCTCATTCCCCAAGGGCGTGGGGTGGGGGTAGGCCCACCTGCAGGCATAGACACCCCCACCCAGAGTAGCCCAGGGGAGCCCACATGCTGGCGGATGGCTTGGCCTGTGCGAGGAGCGGGGGCAGACGGGTTTGCCTGGGCTCCTGATGAGGGAGGGCACTGGATTCAGAGGGGCAGCTGCTCCCCCCACTCCCCCCGCCCCAGCCATGATCTAGAAACAGCCTCACCTTCCGGCAGCCATGGTCCTCTTCGGCCGTGCCCTGGCTCAGCTGACCTGCCTTCTTGCAGATGGACGGCAAGGACTGGTTACAGGGACTGTCATTCCAGCGACCCTCCTAGGAAGGCAAGGTCAGGAGAGTCTCAGAGCCCCGGACAACTGGTCTAGGCCTGACCCTGCCTCAGACGTGCTGTGTGATTCTGAGCGTGTGTCCCAGACAATCAGCTAGTCTGATGGGACAATCAGCAGGGCTGATGGGAACACACGAACATGAGGATATGCAAATGCCCAAAAAACGCTGACGAGCACTGTAGGGGCCGTACTTAAAATGACTTCTATTTTTATGTCTAAACACCAAGGACAAACTGCCTGAGAGTAACTGGTGGCAGGACAGACGGGACACCCGGCTTTTCCCCCCAGAGCCGAAGCTCAGCTGGTGAAGCTGAAGGCGTTCAGTCTTGGGGCCCAGCCTTCATCCTTCTCAGCATCTGCAGCCCCAGCCTGAGGTCTGCAGGGGTGCTGGCACCCCAGGCACCAAAGAGAATGCCAGGCCCCTAGTAGGCACTCAGTCCTGTTCTTAACTCTTTGACAGCATGGCAGGAAGGGTTGAGTTGTGAGGTCCAGTTATGTGCTGTAGAACCTAAACCCAGGAGCCCCACCCGACCTGGGAATGGGGGTGCTTTGTTATGTGAGCATGGCGGAGGTCTCCGGAGGGGTCAGGGGAGCAGCCCCCCACTTCAGGAAGCTGGCAGAAATGGGGGATTGGGAGAGGCCAGAGAGAGCTTGGAGACCCGCTGAGAAGAAAGGATTTCCTGAGAGCGGGCAGGCGGGCGGCCTGGACTTGGACTTTTGACCTCCTGAGCTGTGAGAAAATCCATCTGTGTTCACTAAAGGCTCCCACTTGTGGGATTTCAGCTACAGCGGCACTAAGAAATGAAGACAGTCCCCCAAACCAGATGGCCCCGTCACTTCAGGACCAGGCAGCCTCTGCAGGCTAGACTGTCCCTGTCCCTGGGCGAGAGGCCTGTCCCTAGGGCTCCCCCAAGTGCTACACAGTCCCTTCGCCCCGCAGGGAGCCCTACTTCCCTACCTCCCCATCCACCCTGCACCGGCCAGACTCCTGACAAACAGTCCTTCTCTGTGATGGCAGAAGATGGGCGGGCCCTGACCCCCTCTGCCCCTGGGGTAGATCCACTAATTACCTAAGCTCGGGTGCCACCTGCTGGTCAGGAGGGGCAGCTGGCAGGAGACCAAAAACGTGCCAGGCTGCCCTCAGGCTCCATGCAAAGGAACTCTTAATTAACTCCTAAGTTTCCCACCAGCCCTGCCCGGCCAGCCCCATCAGCGGTCCACTGAGGCACAGTGAGGTGACCCAGCTGGATGAGAAGGAAGTGAGGCTCAGCCCCAGGCAGGCAAGGGAAGCAGTCATGGATGGGTTTTGGGGAGGCAGGGGGACTGGTTAAAAGCTGACTGAGCTAGGATGTTAGGGAAGGAAGGGCCGAGGCAGAGGGGCGTCTCACCGGCCCCCAGATGGTGACGCAGTCCTCCAGGCTGTCCCGGAAGTTGTTGGGCTCAAAGGGGTGCCAGTGGGTGAAGCTCACCAGGCTGCCATCGGACCACTCAAAATTCATCTGCAGTTTCAGGTCATTCAGGCCGATCCACAGCTCCTCCACCTCTGGAGGACAGCAGGGGGTCAGCGCCCGCCCGCCGCCAGGGGGTAGGGGCCAACCCCCAACCCCAACCCCATCCCACCCCCAGGCGCGGGCTCGGGCGGCCCCTCACCCTGTTTGATCTGCTGGGTGACGAACTCCAGCTCGGCCGTGCTGTGCACACTGAGCAGGTCGCCGCCTCCCCGCAGACAGGCCTTTTTGGACTCCTGCCAGCTGCGCTTCTCGGCCTGCAGGCGGTAGCAGTGGCCCTGGAAGGGCTGCCAGCTTGGCTCGCACGCCACCTGCACGTTTGCCCAGGTGTCTGCGGAGACGGAGAGGCGGATGCTGGGTTGCGCCTCCCAGCCCCGGGGGCCACCGGACCCTGGGTGCCCAGAGCCGCCTCCTCCAGGGGGCATCCTCAATCCGCCTAGATCCTCATCAGCAGGGCGGGCCTCGGAGATGCTGAGAGCAAACGGCCCCACCCCAGGCCTGCCGGAAAGGAGCCTGGTGGTGCCACGGTTAAGCGCTGCGCTGCAAATGCAACACGTGCTCCAGCAACACGCCCTGTTTCCTGGGTGGGAGAAAGCCTTGGGGACCTGCTTCGTAAAGAATCCCGCCCAAAAAACCCCGAGGGGTAGCTTTCCTCCGTGACAGCACACAGGGCACCCAACACCAAGGCTGCTGGAGGCCCAGAGGCAGTGGGAGAACCCAGTCAGGACCCTCAGAATGAGCTGGGCCGGGGGTCAGGGCTGGGGAACTGGCTTGATGTGTGGCGTGGGGAGGGCATGCTTGCTCCGCCATGGTCCCAGGGAAGGCTCGATTGCCTCAGCTCAACCCGGACCCTTGCCCCACAGCCCGTGGGCCTTGGTTCCCTCTCGATCAGCAGGCTTCTTGGTGCAAGAGTCACGCTGGGCTCACACCCACCCAGCTCAATAAACAGAGCCACCACCATGATCTCAGACAGCCTTTTAACCAGAGGTCTGCGTGGCCTGGGCAGCTCTGGGTGGAGGGGTTGGGGCCCTCAGGGGCCAAGGTGAACCAGAGGGAAGTGCAGTAATGGGGATGGGTGGGAGTGGGAGTGGGGATGGGGATGAGAAGTCACTGCTCATGGGCTGGAAGTGATGACAGCTCTGCATCTCCGATTGCTCCTCCTTCCCTCACCCCTGCCCCTCACCCCGTACCGCAGGGCTAGCCCCGCCAGGACCTTCCTCACCCCCATTTCCATATTTCCACGCATTTCCAAGCTCTAGGAAAAGGGTCCGAGGGCAGCTAAGGAAAATAAGCCCCCAACCTGGGCCTGGGCAAGAAAGAGTAAGCAGGCCATCACCCGGCCACCCCAGTGGCAGGCAGGCTCGGGCAGGGCTTTGCCAGCCTGTGCCCACGAGAAGCAGCGTTCCTGGCATCATCGGGAAGAGTAAGAAGTAGAATCTAAGTCTCTCCTTGCCCCCAGTGCAGTGCCCTGCCCTTGGCACCAAGTTCATCCATGAGTCCCCAGAGCCAGACACTCCCAGGCTTAAAGGCCTTCAAAAGTTAGCTGAACCCTGCCTGTCTAAACTCATGTCCCCACCCTCCTCTCTAAGCCAACAGATAGACTGACTCACCTGAGGCTCTTACTAAGTGCAGGGAGACCTGGTGGGGGTGGGGGTAGAGGTTTTGAATTTCTCACCAACACCCAGGGATGTTGGTGGGGGGGGGGGCACATGCTCTAAGTACAGCCATGTGCCTTTTACCGTCCTACGATACAGGATGTACAGTAGGCCATTGTGTGATTTGGACATTGGGTGCACAGGACTAAATTGCAAGCAATCGCATTCACTGATTTCCCACCTTCCTGTTATCTAAGAGCCGGTTCCCCTCACTTACAGGGGATGCTTGTTTGCCTTGCATGGCCGCTATCACCACGTCGGACTGGCCGTGTCTGGGGCACGAAGCACTTCACCAGAATGACTGGCTACTGCTGCCTGAAGTATCGGTGATTGGGTAAACTTCTCGTTTTTAAGTGGGGAAAGTTCACATTAAAATCAATGATAGGAAGCACAGTGCATACACAAACTATTGGAGTTTATCAGGACGCTCCAAACACAGGCACTATGGCTTATGTATCGCCTGCTCTCCAGGTGTGCCTGGTTACGCCCCCTACATGCGTTCTCTGATGGGGGCTTTGTGACTACTCTAACTGAGGGACCATGCGTGGATAGGCAGTGAGATGTTACCAGAACAGAGCTACAGCTGCTGCTGATTTCCCCGCCCTCACACCTTCAGACACGCCGTTCCTTCTACGTGAAATGCTCTGCCCACAGTTTCATTCCTTACACTGAAATAAAGAAAGAGAGGGAGGAAGGAAGGAAGGAAGGAAGGAAGGAAGGAAGGAAGGAAGGAAGGAAGGAAGGAAGGAAGGAAGGAAGGAAGGAAGGAAGGAAGTCGATTCCAACCTGAGGCGACCAAGGATATACATCTGTACAGGAGGCAGATGGCCTCATTTTTCTCCTGCAGAACAGCTGGTAGGTGTGAACCGCCAACCTGAGATCAGCAGTCCAACACCTACCCAACAGCACCACCGGGGTTTCTCTTCAACCTGAAAAGCCCCAATTTCTATATAATCCTCTTTAAATCTCTCAAAAGCCGAATTACTTTTTCCTTTAGGCCCGGCTCTGGCTTATTATGGACATTTCTATAATCGCAGGAAGCTCAGCCTAGTCTCAGGGTGTGGGGGCGGCTCTCCCCTCCAGCAGCCACACCCCACAGAGCCAGGGCAGGTACTGCCAATATCCAACAGAGCACATGCGCTGGGATGAATGAATGACGCAGTCTCACTTGTTCAGACTTTAGCTGAACAGTGACATAGGGTCTGAGGCTCAGAATCACCCTGTGCTCTGGAGGTGGCAAGCGAGGAGGCAGGGTCCACAGGGGCTGGTGAGCCTTCCTTACTTAGAGGGTTGGCTCACCTGAGGGTCTTACCTGGGGATGGGCTCACCTGGGGGACTCACCTGGGAGGGGCGGGTCTGTGGTGGCGTTGGGTTTCTTTTTGCACACATAGGGCAGTGCGATGCTGCAGTCCCGGTTCTGCCAGCCCCCTGAGGACTCCGTGCGGATCACCCCACAGTTCTCATCGCTCGGGTTGTCCGGCTGGTCTGTGGGGAGGGCAGGGTGCCAGCACGCCAGGAGAAGCTCACCCCTTGGCTCCTTCAGCCTTTCCCAGTACTCCCTTCCTGCCTCCCTCCCCTCAGAGCCCACGCCAACCAGACTCCCCAACCAGTCACCGCCCTCTGCTCTGACCGTCCTTACTGGGCACCAGAGCCACCACTGAGCCCTCAGGGTGCTGGCCCCCGTCCTGCCACCTGGTCAGACTCCTAGGTGCCTACCAGTACTCCCTGCTGGTACTCCTAGTGCTCACTGCTGGGCATCAGACCCCTAGTCCTCACTGCTGGTATTCCTAATGCTCACTGCTGGTACTCCTAGTGCTCACTGCTGGTACTCCTAGTGCTCACTGCTTGATACTCCTAGTGCTCACTGCTGGTACCCCTAGTGCTCACTGCTTGATACTC